CCACTCAAGCGGCGCATCGAGGGCTCGAGCCAACCCGTCTCGCGCACGGCGAGCTCAGTCGGGAGGTTCAGGAGCTCCAAGCCGAGCTCCACCGCGCGCTGCCGCCGCTTCGCGAGCAACTTCTGCAACACCGCGCCGCGGCGGAGGAAACGACCGCGTCGCTGATCGTTCGCGTCGCCGCGTTGGAAGGGCAGACCGGGAGTCTGACGGAGGCCGCCTCGCGGCTGCATCGGTGGGTGGGAAGTCGGCTTCAGGCCACCGAGGAGGGCTGGCGGGAGGCGCAGGAGGCCGCGTTTCAACCCATCCGCGCGGGGATTCGTCGCCTGGAGGAGTCCTACGCGACCCTCGACGGGGGTTTCGCCGAGCTCGCCAAGGCGGCGCGGAAAGCGATCGCGGAGGGCGAGCGCGGCGGTCGCGCGCAGGTGGAGCAGGCGGCAAAGCTCGCCGGGTTAGAGGGGCTCGTGGTGACGCGGTTGGAGGAGGTCTATCGGGATATGATTCAATGGCATCAGGAGCAACTCACGACCCTGGAGCGGCGGCTCGCGGAGTGGGCGGAGGAGCAGGACGTCCGATGGCGCGCGTTTGGCGAGGACGTCGAGCGGCGGATGCGGGAGATCGGCGACGCCCACGGATCCATCACGGATTCCAATCCCGCCAAGGCGCCTCATCGCGGGGGGGATTGGATGAAGGAAGCCGAGGAGCGAGCGGTCGGGGTGGACGACGACGATCACGCGGCGTCTGCGGCTTCCGTGAAGCCCCTGAAGGAGGCGCTTCTTGCCCTCGAGCAGCAGCTTGGCGAGGTGGCAACCTCGAGCGAGGTGGGATTGAAGGCGACCGCGGACGCCCTCACTGGACTTCGCGACTCCCTGCAGCAATGTGTGAGCTGCGTGAAGCAGGAGTTGCGGGGGGATAGCCTGATGCTGCGCATCATAAAAGGCGGTGAGGTCCCTCTCTCCCCCTCAGCCGTGCTCCCTAGCCAGTGTGAGCCAAACGCAAACGACGAGGCCACGCTCGAGGCGTTGCCCAAACTCGAGGCCCTTGATGAGGTCTTTGTGCTCTTTATGAGGCAGCTCAGCTACGTTTGCCATGGGCTTGCCACTCTTCAAGAAAACGCGTTTGCGACTCTGGAGTTGGTGCAGCAGCAAGAGATGAGCATCCTTGCCATCCCAACGCTTCAGGAGGCGGTTTTGCAACTCGCCTCTCAGCTGAAAAGAGTGAGTGTGGCCCTGCCGGAGCTAGGGGAGTGGAATTCAGGGATTGAGGAGGTGATGCAATCCACCATGTTGAGGTCACAGGAAATTGAAATCGACGAACAATGAGTACTAACTAACACGCAAGAAGATTTTATGATTTAGTTCAGATCTTTTTTTCCCCTTTTAGGGAGCGAAATTCTACGAACCCGCCCCGAGGAAACAATTGGTGTGGTGTTTAAAATGGGGTTATTTGGACTTTTTAGTAAGCGGAGATGCATAAAGATGCAGATCCAACATACCTGTGTTTTATCACTCTCGGTGTTTGTACTCATCCTGGAAGCCTTTAATCAATTCAAGGACTCTATAGCAACATGAGCCGTGTGGCTCTGGCGAACAAAATGCAAGAGCTTCTTGCGCACCACGCACAGGAGATCGACGCTCTGGAAAATAGTAACGACCATCACTGCATCAACGATACCGTGGACGATCGCGACTACAGGGATCTCATGCAGCTTCTGACAGCTCGGCATGACCATGCGAATCCGCCATCCTGCCGTTCACGCAGCGCCGCCCGCGCGACGAGCGTTTCTCTTTCCATGAAACACTCCGGCAACGAGGCGGCTGATGCAGAAGACTGGGAGCGCTCCAAAGATGAAGCCCTTGGGGGTATCGCGGCAACTCTTCTCGTCGCCCACACCGCCCGAAAGGCTCCAGAAGGGACACCACATCATGCCGATACAACCTCGGAGGGCATGAAGGAGTCGCTTCGCGTGCTAGCAGAGGGTGGAGTTTGCGGAGAGGCGTTTAGAAACATGCGGTTGCGTATCTTAGAGCAACTGCGGTCGGTGCAGGGGGAGCGGGGCCTCTCATAATGGTTTCGGATTATCCCATCGCATTCTAACCGAAGTGTTGCCAAGGATTATCTTTTGCCTGTGGCGGGGTATGAAATAAAAAGTAGCTTTAATGTAATATATCAGAACCTTTTTGAATGTCGCGGTTCATGCAGGTTACTTTTTCCCCCTCAAGGTTTGTTCATGCGTAGAAAGAGCGTAGTTCATCGTGATACCGTTGTGTTTCTGGCTTATATGATCCCTTCTTCTCTGTAAAAGAAAAAAGATGTTTGGCTTCCAATTTTTGGGCGCATGGCTTTTGGAGCAGTGAGGTTAGGAGGGGGGGGGAGGGAGGAGGCAAGAAAAAGGAGCGTAATGGTATGCACTCCCTTCTTTGGCGTTCCTCTATGTGGTATTTTCTTCTTCTGCCTCCCCACTGTATCTTCTCCATCTTGGAAGATGGTAAACCTCTAAGGGAAGTGAGTTACACTAGTTTCTGTTTTCTTGGTTGTTTCACCCCTTCTCCACACTTAACCGTCGCAGTACAAGCAGCGGCGTGTGGATACCCTGATTGATTGGATTGACTTCGGTAGGGACGGAACGCGTCCCTTCTCAGGCCAACGGATACCCCATCGAGTGTGGCCCTCCCCTCCTCCCCTCTCCCCCTTTTCTTTCTCGCTCGCTCGCTCTCTCTCTCATCATCTAGAGAAAAGGAACCTAGAAAGAAGTCCCCTCGAGTCGCATGGGGCAGCCAAATGCGAAGGAATCCAAGCGCAAGGCGGCTCGATCGAGCACCGGGATGCTATCCCACGGCTCCGCCTCGGCGATGACGGGGTTGGGGCTCATCGCCTCCACCGTGCGGAATATCGTGCTGCAATCCGGGCACGTCGTCGGCGCCGAGACGGCGTACTCCCGCTACGCCGAAACGACGAACGCGCCGGGCGCGAATCGAAGCCTCCCGCGGGGCTACGGCCACCCGTCCACGCGGCCCGTCAGCCATCCCAACCTCACCCTCCCGGTCGTCCTACGCTACCTCGACCAGGACGTCCAGGCGCTGCTCGCGCGTCGCGCGCACGTCTGCGTCGCGGTCGCGGCGATGGATTGGAGGCCGCTGCTGATGACGCCGAGCACGGACTCCTTTTACGCCCTCCTGGAACTCCCCCCGGGGCGGCATCACTACCGCTTCCTCGTGGATGGCCGGGAGGTCGTGGATAGCACGCAGCCGTTGGCGCCCTTGGCGGGCCCCGCGCGGGAGGCCGCGCGTGCGGAGTCCGACGCCGCGCCCCACCCCCTGTCGGAGTGCCGCCCCGCGAACACCATCCTCCTGGATGAGACGGCGCTGAACATCGAGGACAACGACGGCGGCGACCCCGTCGACGACGAGGAGGGCTGGGGTCAGGAAGAGACCCTCTGCGAGGAGTCGCGGAAGTACCCCCCGATCATCCCGCTGCATCTGCGTTACACCCCTTTGAATTCCCCCCCGACGCTCGTGCGGTGTGCGCGGAATGGATGCCTGTCGGTCGTGGACGCCTCGGCCGAGGGGAGTGCCGGGGGGGTTCGTCCGGAGCACCTCCCGCTTCCGTTGAGCGTGACGATCAACCACGTCTACTTCCAGCGGCGAGAGGATCACGCGGTGATGGGGGTGACCACCCGACATAGCGATAAGTTCACGACGGTGGTCTATTACACCCCACTGCCTGTTGAGTAGGTTGCCAAAAGAAGGGGGAAGGAGGAGCGGCAAGGAGGAGGAGGAGAACGAGGGAAACGATAGAAGGGGAGACGAAGAAGGGGGCATCTCGCGGGAGACGTCCATGGAGAAGGAAGCGTTCTGCGCACGCGGCCCCTTCGCGGTGGATTTCTTTGATTGGGTTGGTTTGAGTGAGAGTTTTTTTCTGAATTCCTTTTTTCGTGTGTTGTTGGATTACAATTACAGTTTATTATTATTAATTTCCAATTTGTTGTCCTGTTCAAGTGTCTTTTTCTAACCGACTTAGTTTAAAAAAATGGTAAGGGAAAAAAGACAGGAATAGAACACGATTATATACTTTATACGGCTCTTTCCTTGCAGTTCTAGATGAACGTTGACGTATATGCACAATTAGGCAAATAGTACAAAGGTGCAAACCATTAGCGTTCGAAATGTTTATGATTCACGCGAGGTCCTTCACATCTCCTTTTGTTGTTGTATGTGATTTTGTTGGCTGTATTTTTTTTTACTAATTCGCACAAATAAATGAATTGGGTTGAATAGTACAAAGAATTTGTGTAGATGTGTGTCGATAATAGTAATTTTTAGGGAGTTAGAGTGGGGGGGAGGGGGAGGCTTTCTGGTGGTTCCAAAGGATGCATTTTAAAGCTGATCCTCCTTTTCTCATGTGTATTTATCGACTTACATTTCCTTAAAAGTTAGAGACGACAGTTGTCATGCACTAAGGATACCAAACGCCTTCTGCGAGTTTTTCTTGACTGGTTATATTCCTTTTCGTTTAAAGCATGGCCGATACGATATCTGGGAAGCTGATCGCCGAGAGACAAGCCAATACCTCTCTACGCAGCTACTGGCATCGGCTAGAAGAGATAATGCGGGGAAGCGATCATCGACTATACACAATATCTAAAGTTACCGCTTTCATTTCTAGCCTCCTACGTTTATTGGTAGCGTTGTTGCGATACGTGGTATCACCCTCGCACCGTGACAAACGTGTGAATACGGCTAATTCTTCGCCAAAGTAGAAATGTGAGGTTCATGATAAAATGGTAGGGATAGAATTACGATATTCGTGTCGCGAGTCGTACCATTTTTGCCCCTCTAGATTACCTTCGGTGCTCGTTTAAACGTTCAAGGAAGTCATGTGGACATATTCCTTAAAGGTGCGATCTGTTGATGCCTCACGCGGGAAAGAAATCTAAAATCCATTTAGTATTCCTTGTTCTGTAAAAAATGTCCTACATGCTGTGTCTTTTCATTCAATCTACCCTCTCACATTGTGGAAATGCAAAATAGATAACTAATAACAATCGCGTTTCTCCAAGTGAAGTTGCATTCCCATAGGTTCGACGAAAGTCATTTATAAAAAAAAGAAAGGAAGGAGCACAATCTGAGGAAATGGTCCTTTTAATTTCGAAAATGCGATGCCTTGTCGCGTGCGTTTTCGCTATTCTCGTTCTCTCCGGGCTGTTAATCCTTGGAAGGCCTATAAAACTTCCAGACGTTTGGCAGGGCATGCCACTCGTCCTAAACTTCACAAACTACTCCACCTCAGTGGCTCAGCACAGTTGGGCATCGGTCTCCCGCGTATCAACGCGTGCGGCAGACCTGATCGCCGCAGCACAGGCATCGGCGCCACCTATCCTGATACAGTCGGTGCGAGACTTTTTAACCGGCGCGGTGTTGGCGGTGAGTCTAGGGAAGACCCTTTCGGTTGCAGCTTCAGGTTATGTACCTGATTGCATCCATACTCAGGAAGAGGCCGTGCGGTTATACACCACAAGTAAGTTCTGGATTGCCTTGGGCGGCAGTTGCTGCGAACTTATCCTTATAAGATTCTTGCTTAAAGAAGGATATAGAAACCGCCGTCAGAATCTTCTTGTGCGCTGGTTCAACTCACCGTTAGGCTGGGTGTTCTTGGTCTTGCTAATGGCCATACCCAACGGTGTCCTTCCGATTAGTGTTCTTCTTGTGTGTGCATGCAAGCTTCCCGATTTAGTCTATGTCCCGGCGATTTTAATCAGCAACTTTATGAAGCCTTACATTGTGGCGGCTATGCGAAACTCTCCAAGATTGGGTTTGACCAAGGACGTATGCACTACTTTGCATAATCTCTTAATTCAACATCAACCACAAGAAGGAAGCCTAAGTTATATTCCAACTATTGCAGAACTGATTTTAGAAGGAATTGTCCTCTTCGCCGTGCGATTTGCTCTGGCCGCACGCAACATGCCCGATGAAGATGACGACTTACCTATCTCTACAGCCCCTCTTGAAAAGAGTCCTGCCAAAGGCTTTCCAACCGTGCAGCAGAAGAAGAAGTCCAGGAAATCGTAAAGGAGCTGACTTGCTTGATTTCCACTCTAACATTATATATATATATATATATGTATGTATATATAGGTTTGTATTTATCGCTCATCGCTACCTTTTTCAAGGAAATATTTTTAGTTGCATAACACACATGCATACATAAGGGGGCAAAGTGCGAAAATAGATGTCTTTGGAGAGAAAAAGAACGGACGAGAGTGAAAATTTTTTATTACTAATACCTTTATTTCAGCTTTGAAAACTAAGTGCGTATATCGATATGCACCACTCCTTTGTGTTGCATATACGCGCGCAGGATGGGAAATAAATGTCGGAAGGAGGTAATAGAGTTTGTAGGGGAATAATGGCTGTACAGGATCAATAGAGGAGAATATTATCTCCAACTTTCGTACACCAATTTCTATATACTAAACAAAATCACATAGATGTAATATTATACAGGGTCACTCAGACTCTTTATATGATTAGAGATCATAAAACAACCCCAAAAGAAAAAAGTTAATGCAAATATCATTTTTGGAAGGGTCATTGCACGTGCATTCACACTCTTTTTGTTCTCCTTAACATTTTTCAAACCTTTTTGGGGCTCAATTCTGTTGGTATGTTGCTTCTATTTAGCTATTCCCCTTTATTATCGCGAAGGGGCTACAGTGGAAGAGTAGCGATTCCATTTACAGCGCATTATGTCAACACCTTTTGAGAGCTTCCGTTTCCTACGTGTGCCTTATTCAGCGCAGGAAACAGCCAACCGCTTCGCAGAGTACTGCCGCAGGAACCAGGTCATCACACGTGGTCTATGCCGAATTGGCTACATTCAACGATGCCCACCCGTCCCGCAGCTTTCCCATGAGAGCGTTGTAGCCGCTGAAGCGGCGGGTGCGACAGCTGGCAGCACACCTCTCCCCATGCTGAGGGGCCTGATCGCGAACAAAAGCATTCCCAAGGACACTAACGTCGTGATGCTCCCACTGAGTGCATGCATAGGTCCATCCAACGCCATGAAATGTACCCCCTTCTTTGACATATTCCCTCGTGAAGCTCGAGAAGCGTATTTTCTCCAAATGGCATCCGTACAAAACAGCCGAGTGGCAGAGCAGAGCCTTATCCGACACAACCAGCTCTTGCTGGCGCTCTACATGGCCTACCTCCTGCTCGTCCGGGCCTTACAGCCAGATGCCCAGGGATCCGATCCCGTTCGTTATCTAGACTTCCTCCCAAGAAGTGAGGGCAATTTTGCACAGCTGGAGGCACACATGGCGGTCTCCCTTGAGACCGCGGAGGCCTGCCGCGTCGGGCAGACCTGTTTGGCCGCCCATTTCCGTATCCCGCAGGCCGAAATACGGCCTTTGCTGGTCTGGGCCCTCTGCATGATCTACAGCCGTATGGTACCGATTGACCACAAGGGCCTGCTAGAGGAGGCGTTCCGTGACACCCCGGTCGCGTCCTTCTTTGCCAGTCAGTCCCGTGGGGAGGACCTCATGCCGGAGCCCATCTCCTTCCTGTGCCCAATCGTGGACATGTGCAATCACAGCGAGGGGGAGAATGTTGCCGTGATGGTTCCCGACAACCCACCTTCCAGGTTACAGCGTGTCGTCTGTCTGCGCACCTTGCGGGATGTTGCTGAAGGGGAAGAACTTGTCATGACGTATAGCCGATCCCCGGCAGAGCTCCGAACGATTTGGGGCATGTCTCAGGTACTGCTTTAGAAAGGAATGACATGTTAATGCGGGGCGATATTGTCTTAGGTTGCACTCTTGCAGGGATAATGGCTACTGTGCGATCCTCTTAGCCGTGATAAGCATATTTATGGCACATGTACGCGCAGCCTTCACCATGACGATCATGTGATATTGATTTTTTATCGCTCAATTGGCGCATAGGTGAGCATTTGATCACTACTAGAAGACTTCTTTCTTCCCTAGTGAGTACATGTAAACTTCGGAATAAGAGTACGACGTCGCTTCTTTTCCCCTCATGCAATTCTTTAAACTGAAGAAACGAAAACATTTTATATAGAAACGTCCTTATGGGTAGGAAACACTGGAAACGATCTAACCTGACAACCCTTACCACCACCGTCGAAGTCACGTTGCTGCTAGATGCTCTTTTGCAGCCTAAAGAGGTGTAGTAGTGGCAAGCAGTGGGCGCAGCGACAGTCGCTCGATCCGTTCGTTGTAGAGGCAAGACGAAAGGGCTATGTCGCCCGTAGCGCCTTTAAATTACTCGACCTTGATGATCGCTATGGGTTGTTTCATAGAAAAAAGACACGCGCCGTGGTTGACCTGGGTTGTAGCCCAGGTGGGTGGTGCCAAGTAATTCGTGAGCGCACAGGCGATGCTTGCATGATTTTTGGTGTGGACCTTCTTAATGTCAAAGCAAATGTGCCAAATGCGGTGTTTGTGCAGGGTGATTTTAACTCTATCGAGGTGCGGAGAAAGCTGCTGGAGCATCTGGATAGACATCAGCTTTTGTCAGTAAACGTGAACCATTTCTCCGAAGACACAACTACTAATGACGCCCAAGGGCACAATAAAAATATCCGCCGAAGTGGTGGCATGGTGGACGTGGTTGTATCCGACATGTGCCCTAATCGAGAAGGCGGCGCACAGGATCGGCATCGGATCAGCGCTCTGGATATGCTTGCACTCAACTTTAGTCTGCCCCTCCTCAAAGAGGGTGGGCATTTCGTCTGTAAGGTGCTTGGTAGCCCCGCTTCCTACGAGGATCTCCACAAAATAATGCATCTCGCGTTTCTGCAGGTTTATATTACCAAACCGTCTGCAAGTCGTGGGCATAGCGATGAATCATTTCTGGTAGGCTATTCCATGCTCGGGGAATCGAGATCTATAAATTTTAGTCTGAACGGCGCCGCGCGTCCAGGTGAAAGACGTTACGGGTTGGATGATTGGCCTGGCTCCGCACGTACGCAGCAGTACAGAAATCGCAAAGAGAAACGGTAAAAGTCACTTTCTCGGTTGCTATTTTTCCTTTTATAAGGGTGCCAAAGAATTCAGTGATAGAAGCCGTAAGACTCGGCAGAAGTCTCCTATAATTCATATCGTTGTGTATCTGGAGAAAGCTTTTCACTTGTCTCGCACAAATTGCAGTTTTCCCCTAAATAGAAAGTCAAGAGGTAAATAAAAAAAGTATATTACTTCAATCAATACACACATTTTATTTACGTACTTCACACCTTCATAGGTGAGATTCCTTCTTTTATATTTGGTTCCCGATCTCTTTGCTTCAGTAGGTGAAAAACTATCAATGGAAATTCGAAAGCGGGAAAGTAGTTTGTTAGTACCATGTGTCGAGGCGAATCG